ACTTGAATACAATGTAAATGCTATGTAAACAGTTGTTATACTGTATTATTATTTTTAATTTGTTTCTTTTTGAGGCAGAGCTTTGCTCTCATTGCCCAGGCTGGAGTGCAATGGCGCAATCTCAGCTCACTGCAACCTCCACCTCCTGGGTTCAAGCGATTTTCCTGCCTCAGCCTCCCGAGTAGCTGGGATTACAGGCATGCACCACGATGTCCAACGAATTTTTGTATTTTTAGTATAGATGGAGTTTCATCTTGTTGGCCAGGCTGGTCTCGAACTCCTGACTTCAGGTGATCCGCCTGCCTTGGCCCCCCAAAGTGTCGGGATTACAGGTATGAGCCACTGTACCTGGCCAATTGTTGTATTGTTATTTTGTTTTTTCTTTTTTCCTAGATATTTTTGACCCATGGTTGGTTGAATCAGCAGATGAAGAACCCACAGATACAGAGGACCAACTGTATTTATGTAGTAAATGGCTTCATCAATTATCTGGTCACAAACAAGAAACTTGGGATAAACCTGACTCCTTCTGCTCACTTCCCATATCTAGTTATCACCAAGTTCCGTTATTTCGGCATCCTAAATAATTCTGCCTCTTTTCCCCTTGACAGTAAGTTTGACGGTCACCATTTTTACCTGGATTATTACAAGATTCCTAACTAGTTTATCTGGACTTTCATGATCTGGCAATAGTGTATAAGTTCCATGAAGGCAGGAATTCCTGTTTTGTTTTTGTTTTTTTTTTAGGGACAGGATCTTTCTCTGTCATCCGAGGCTGCAGGGTGCTATGACAGCTCACTGCAGCCTTGAACTCTCAGGCTCAGCCCAATCTCCCACCTCAGCCTCCTGAGTAGCTGGGACTACAGGTGCATGCCACCATGCCAGGTTTATGCCAAAAATTTTTTTGGCTGGATGTGGTGGCTCACAGCTGTAATCCCAGCACTTTGGGAGGCTGAAGTGGGTGGATCAGGAGTTTGAGACCACCCTGACCAACATGGTGAAACCCTGTCTCTACTAAAAATACAAAAAATTAGCCAGGTTTGGTGGCACACACCTGTAATCCCAGCTACTCAAAAGGCTGAGACAGGAGAATCCCTTGAATCTGGGAGGCAGAGGTTGCAGTGAGCTGAGATCGTGCCACTGCACTCCTGCCTGGGTGACAGAGCAAGACTCTGTCTCAAAAAAATTTTTTTTTCTTTTTCTTTTATTTATTTACTTTTTTAAAGAGAAGGGATTTTGCTATGTTGCCCAGGCTGGTCTTGAACTCCTGGGCCCAAGCAATCCTCCTGCCTTGGCCTCCCAAGTTGCTGGGATTACAGGCATGAGGCACTGCACCCAGCTGATTCCTATTTTGTTCATGCTGTTTCTCTTAGTGTCTAGAACAGCACCTGACACATAGTGGGCACTCAGTTAATACTTGTTGAGTGAATGTATGAATACATATCAGCAGTTCACCTTTCCAGCCTCATTCCCACACTGGGTATGACCCTCACTTGGCAGCCCTACCTGAATGTATATAGACTTCTGAGCAAGTTGTCTTTGCATATTTTGTTCTTTCTGCCTGCACATGCTTGGCTCACATCTACTCATTCTTTAAGACTTATCCCCACATTATCACCTGTGGGAAGCTCTGCCTTCCCCAGTCTTGGTTAAGTAACTGCCTCTCTGTGGTCCCACAGCATGCTGTGCATACTTCTAAAGTAGCATTTTATCTTGTTTCCTTGTATCTGGTGATTTATGTCAACTACGAGCTCTCTGAGGGTGGGGTTTTTGACTTTTCCATCTCCATTCCCTGACACATGGCCCATACCGAGCACTTTATAAAAGTATCCAGAATAGAAAAATCTCTATCCCCCCACCTGACCGACATGGTGAAACCCTGTCTCTACTAAAAATACAAAAATTAGCCAGGCATGGTGGCAGGTGCCTGTAATCTCAGCTACTCAGGAGGCTGAGACAGGAGAATTGCTTGAACCTGGGAGGGGGAGGTTGCAGTGAGACGAGATCGCGCCACTGTACTCCGGCCTGGGCGACAAGATGAGTCTCTGTCTCAAAAAAAGAGAAAAGAAAAGGCCAGACTCGGTGAGCCCCCAGCACTTTGGGAGGCCGAGGCGTGCAGATCATGAGGTCGGGAGTTTGAGACCAGCCTGGCCCACATGGTGAAACCCCGTATCTATTAAAAATACAAAAATTAGTCGGGCATGGTGGCGGGCGCCTGTAATCCCAGCTACTCAGGAGGCTGAGGCAGGAGAATTGCTTGAACCCAGGAGGCGGAGGTTGCAGTGAGCCGAGATCAAGCCATTGCACTCCAGCCTGCGCAACAGAGCAAGACTCCGTCTGAAAAAGAAAAAAGAAATGTCTGTATCCCAACTGACATCACATTTTGTTCTTTCAAGCCACACATGACACTTCATTTAATGGTATTGGTAATGTTTATTTGAAGCTGGTTAGTGAGCTCAATGATGTTCACTTTATTATTAATGAATAATAATGAAAAACATACATTATTTTGTATGTATAAAACAATTAAAGAATTTAAAGATTATTTTTGAAGGACTGGTCCTATGTTGTAGTCTCTATGCTAGATTTTAGGAACACAGTGATGGATAAACACAGAACCTGCTCTCAAGTTGCTTATCGTCTACGGAGAAGAAAAAGTTGTAAACACGTGTAGCATCTTTTTATAAAGTGCTCTATGTGTTATGTCAAAGGATAACTGAGGGGAGTCAAGCAAGGCTTCATGGAGGTGGTATCCTTTTAGCTGGGAGGAAAGTAGTACATGTTTTGTGGAATGGCTCTGATATACTGGAGTAAGAGTTCCTTAGGGTAGATGGGAAATGGAAGGGCAAGTTGGGACCAGATGGTGAAGACCCTGACTGGCACACTGAGCAATCTATACTTCATGTTCCTGTAGGTAACAGGAAGCCACTGAGGTTTGGTAAGTGGGGAGTGATGTGTTTGGATTCATTCTTTCACCCCCAAATACTGACCCCTGAGTTCCTATTTGCTGCTACTTGGCTGACTTCTCCTTTCATATTAGGGTCTCAAGCCCATTCTGGTCTATCAGCTTCTGCAGGGATGCTGGGAAGCAGGGAGGAAAGGGATGATTCATTACAGAAGGGAAATAAGTAGTATGGCTGAGTTGCCAAATACCACTCAGTTAGCAGGAGACAGAACTGGAACCCAGCTGCCCCTGGGTTCCCCCGTGCCCATGCAGTCAATTACCCTTCCTTGAGCTTCCTCTGCATCGGGGGCCATGCTTTGGATACTGGGATAGGCAAACCATAAGTAAGGGACAGAAATGGCCTCACACTTTTGTGGTACCCCCAGTCTGAAATTGCAGGTTGCACACCAGAAAGACACACAAAGGGCAGATTTAGGAGCAGCTAGAAACTCTAGATATCCATGTTGAGGAGCGTGGTGAGGGGCTGGGGGGCTTTATGGAGGAGGGGAGTATGAAGCGGATTTGGGACAATGAAGCAGAACAGGGTTGGAGAGAAAGGAAGGTGAGAAGGACCCACGTGAAGTTTTGGAGGTGGGAAAGAACAAAACCTATACCGCAGTCCTCTTCAGCGCTTTTAGTCTCACGGTGTCTGTATCAGTGGCTTTGTACAGCTAGCTGTGTGGCTCCTGTGGGTGTGTGTGTGGCTTGGCAGGGGCTGTGGCATGGGACCACAGGGCCTGGGTCCCTGTTTGTCTACTCTTCTCCTTTTTTGCACTAGGCAGCCACCCTTCTGGAAACCAGGATGTGTGGGTCCCAGATTCTTCTCTCCCCAACCTCCCCCAGAAAATAAATCACACATGATTTCATTAAATGCACCTCCTGCTGAGGATGTTGGCTCATAATTCCTCTCTGATTAACCCCCACTACCCCGGCAAGTTTATAGGCCAAGAGAGGGAGGGGGAGAGGGGGAAGGTAAAAGGAGGGATGGAGGGAATCCCAGGCGGGTGATGGATGCCTCTGTCAGCCCAGCTCGTATTTATTAATAGTCTTAATACGGGAAGCAATAAAGGAAGAGAGGGATTCTATTAATTAAATCATTGTTATAATTAACTTTCATTAAAGGAGGATCAATAAAGAGAGGTTGAGATGGAGAGAGGAGAGATCCATTATCTCTAATTTCCTTGGAAGGGATTCAGGGAATGAGATGGGGTTGCTAGGAGACAGAGATGTGAGGGAAGAAGGAAAGATGTAAGATGTCATCCAGGTGGGGCTGGAAAGGGGGTGGACAGGAGCACTTCAGGTGAACGGAGGCAGAGAATGGTGGGGGTGGTCCACACAGAGGCCTGGAAGGGAGTGGAGGGTGGCTGAGAAGGGAGCTTTTGGGATGGAGAAGAGGGTTGTAGGCATGTGCTTGTGCAGGGCATTGCTGAGAGCCTCGGTGGGCGTGCAGGTCCTTAACAAATGCTTTATGATGCTGTGTACGTGTCCGTCTAGCCTGTGAAGGTGGTTAGAGTGGATGAATGTGTTTTTGTGACTGCTGAATCAGAGTGTGCATACAGGTATGAGGGGATGGCAACAGAGAAAGAAACAGGAAGAATATAAAATCACCTTTAGAGGTATGAGGCTTAGGGCATGCTTTACTAAGTAGATACTCAAAGGTGTACCCTCTTGACAGGAATAAAGCCTGTCCTTTGGCATAAGGTACAGTGATGGCTGGTGTGAAAGGTAAAGGTCTGGGCAGTGGAAAACTTGTCTCGCTTTTCCACGGCATGCACTCACCCTGAGACTAAACCCTGAGCAGAACTGACACGGACCCATCGGTTTGCTCCCTTCCCCACTGTCGCACTATCCAAGCCAGACTCCCACTTGAGACAACCCGCTGGGTGCCAGCACAGCAGGAGGCACAACAGGACAGTAACTGCCCAGTATCCCCTGCCATGAGGCAGGGATGCATCCCTTCTTTTCCTCCTCCCTCCATCAGGGTCTAAGGGCTGGCGGTCTGGGCCCTGTACTCCAGTCATACCTCATAATAAGAACACATTTGGGACAACCGTTATACATATCATATAAATATATTTGTTCAAACTACAGATCAAAGGGAAGGATATTAGGGGGAAGCTTATTGCTGTGGGGGGACCTGAAGAGGGAGGAGGGGCTGGGAAATAGGGATACCTGGGACCATTTCTTCCCCACATCCCTCACAGAAGGCACAAATACATCATTTCTTTCCGTGCGAGGAGATGTGAGAACAGGATACAGAGTACAGGAATCCTCAAAAATACAAAAACCCTCCAAACTGAATACCTAAGGCTATGGAAAAGGCTGGGGTGGGCACAGAAGGCAACGGGGGAACAGAAGGAGGAACCAACAAAGCTGAGAACCAAAAGGGACCTGAGAGGCCATGACGTCCATGCTGCTGCCTCTATGCAGGCCCCAGAGAAAACTCAGGTAAACAAACGGAAACCCCAAGTAAGAGAGGGTGGGGTGCCCCAGGAATTGGCTTTGGGGCATCAGACATAGGAGTGTGTGTGAGTGTGAGTGTGTGTGTGCAGTGGCTGTGTATCAGCAGCAACCAGGGCTATTCCCACAGGGGAAGGCCTCCATCCTGGTTCCTCCAAAACCGCTTTCAGGGGGTAAATTCAGCCACTGCTTCTGAACAGGACCCCTTCCTGGGACAAAAGAGCCAGGCAGGAGAAGATAAAGTGAGAAATCCTGGGATGAAAGCAGGGCACACAGAAGCAGTTCTTAGGGAGCAGAATCTCATGGAGCCTGGTGTGGTAGAAAATGGGCATAAGTATATGCATGTGTGTGAGCTAGTGTGTGTGTGTGTGTGTGTGTGTGTGTGTATTTGTGCATGTGTGAAGGAGTAAGATCACTCAAAGGTGAAGGGGTCCTGTGTGCTGAAAAAGAAGTGTCCATCCATGTGGTCCTCCAGGGCATCCTTGTCACTCTCAGCAGGGAAGCGCTCCTTACAGATAGGACACTCCTTCCATGTGGGGGTGGCAGGGCCCCCAGTGCTGGCTTCTGACAGGGGACCCACTGTAAAGCCACTAAGAGAGACAGAGGGGTTAGGGGAGAGGGTTGGTGTGCTCTGTTCCCTTCTCGACTTGCAGACTTCAGGGAGCAGGACCCACGCGCCTGGTCCCAGGTGATCTTGTGCCTAATGCAGCATCCCCGCCTCTCCCACAGCGTCTTTCTCCCACAATCCCGGAAGCCTTGTTTTTCCAGTTCCCCACGTCCTCTCTTTAGCTCCTGCTTGTCTCTGCAGTGCAGAGCCCATCCCCCAGCCTCCTGCTCTCCTCCCTCCATCTCCGTCTGCTGCCTAATGAGGCTGAAAATGAGTCTGACATCGTCCTTCATCTTCCCGCTCCAGCTGGGAAGGATGACAGCATCACCCCCTCCCTGCCCTGAGCCCATCTCACAACTAGGCAAAACTGGACTAGATGATCAAATCTCTCTTCCCTGTGCCTGCCCCGCTGACCCTGGGAATACCAAACAGGGAAGAAGGTGACAATCTGGTACCGGAAACACCCACCCCTGTAGATTCCCTTCCCTAAGGGTCCCCCAGGGAAGTCAGGGAAGAGGGACAGCATTTTCGGTGTAGCCTGACGGATGCTGGACCCCAGTCTTCTCTCTGCTCCTATCCCTGGGGGCTGTGGTCACCTCCCTTCCTCCCCGGAGGATCCTAGGTACCTACCTAGTGTCTGGGGAAGGGGTAGGGGCAGGAGAGAGGGGAAGCAAGGCAATTTGGGCTCTGTGGAAGATGGTGCTAGAACAAAATAGAAGCCAGTTAAAGGCAAGACCTCTGAGTGCATTGATAAGATGGGGGAGGGATTACCTGAAGGCATCTGGGATTTGGAGCAGTGAGTCAGTTTCCTTGTTAACCATACCTGTAGCTCCTTTTCTTGGCTGAGGCCAAGAAGGGTGGGGGTTGGGAGCAGGGCCTGGTGACTGTCCACACAGATGCCCCTTTCCTCTGTCATCCTCCCACTTCCCTCCTGGCCTCGCTGGTTGAACTCACCTGGCCATGTCATAGAAGGCACTGCCCAGTTCAGGAAGCAGCAAGTTGGCCTCCTCGCCCCCACTCTGCACAGCTGCCATCAGGACTGACTTCTCATCTTCAGCCTCCTGGACGCCGAAGAGACAGGGTTGGACTTTGGGGTGGTGTCCCAAGATGGGGGAGCAGCACATTGGGACAGGTATGGGAGGAGCAGCCAAGGTTAGGACAGTGACCTGGGGGGCTTAGGAAGAGTGAGGCAGGAGAGGCATTTTGAGGGGCTGGTGGATAACACGAGAATGAGGAGTGTAGGGGAGGGGAGAAGCAGTGAGGCTACTGGGCTGGTCTGGGTTTTGGGATGGTATCAGTTGGTATGGCCTTGAACAGAGGCTGGGCCTGCCTCCTCTGCCCTGGGAAAAAAAGAGAGCCCCATATGGCTAAGATTCTTGCTCTAATTAGCCGGGGGCGCATGCCTGTGGTCCCAGCTACTCTCGAAAGACTGAGGTGGGAGGATCACTTCAGTCCATGAGGCAGAGGCTGCAGTGAGCCAAGACCATGCTGTCCTCCAGCCTGGCCGACAGAGTGAGACCCCGTGTGAGAGACTCCTGCTGTAGAGCTGGGGAGACCCCGTGTGAGAAACTCCTGCTGTAGAGCTGGGGAGACCCCGTGTGAGAAACTCCTGCTGTAGAGCTGGGGAGACCCTGTCTGAGAAACTCCTGCTATAGAGGTGGGGAGACCCCATCTGAGAGACTCCTGCTGTAGAGCCGGGGATACTTGGGTTTGGCTCTACCCCTCCTTACTGCCTCTCACAGGCTCCTCCACTGCTCACCGAGTCAGAGCTACTGTCCTCAGCTGGCCCAGAAAGGTGAGAAGAAATGGGAGCCGGCTGGCTGATGACAACGAGGGGAGAAGCCTCTCGAGGCCCAGAAGGAGAGGAACCTGGGTCTCCATGCTCACAAGGGCCATAGGGTGGGAGCCTCATGTCTTCTGGGGACTCGTCCTCTGAGTCTGTCAGAGCTGCTGGGCAGCCTGTAGGAGACAGAGCAGGCAGAGAAGAAAGAAGGATGTGTCGTGAGAAGGATGGACCAGCTGCGTCCTCTGGATGAGGGCTATCATTAGACTAAACAGGGGACAGCGTCTGGGAAAGAAAAGGCAAAACACATAGAAGGCAGAGGCAGCTCCCAGCAAGGTTACATGGAGCCTTCCTCAAGAGCGGGAGGTAGAGGGGGGAAGAGATGTTACAAGACTGGGGCTGTACGGACTCAGCCCCGCAGCAGCCTCCTCATCCTCTGTGGCAGCATCCTCATTCCACTTCTCATCTGCCACCTTCTCCAGGCGGGCCTCCAGCTTTCTCATGTACTCTAGCAATTCCTGGAATTGGGAAGAAAGAGGCAAGTGCTAGAGACTGGGAAGGTGCCAACCTTGCCTGCAAGGCCTTTCTCTGCACCCAGGAGGAACTCTTAGCTCCTCAGGATTAGAAGCCTTCAGCAAATACTAGGGTAACTTCAGGTAGATAGCCCCCAGCACCCCTCCTTCACCACTTACATCCCTCCTTTCTCCCAGAGATCCATCCCCTGTCCTGACAAGTCCACTAATAAGAGAAGCCAGGGTATGGGTCCTCTTGGAGAGAACAGTTTCTAAGTCAAGGGATGACAGGAATTGACAAAGTTTCTAGCCCTCTAGTCCTCACCTGTGGCATCCATGGGGCCTGGGTTATGGGTGCTCACCTGCTTCTCCTCTTGTAGCTGCTCCTTTTCCTTCTGGAGCACACGCAGGGCTGACCGCAGCTCTGTCAGCTCCCGCTTACTTTCTGACAACTGTACCTGAGGGAAGAGTCAGATGGAATCTGGAGCCTAGAATGTACCTCCAAGAACCTGGGCTCTGGGAGCAGGACCAACAATCTAGAACCAGGTCTCCCCATGTCTCTGCTGCTTTCTTGCGCTGACACCCCACAGAATTCCCAACACTCTTCCTCCATGAGTCCTTTGTCTTGGGCCACAGGGATTCAGTGATCTAAGTCCTAGTCTCTGCCTCTCGAGTGGGGACCTGGATGACTGCCTCTAGGCTGGGGTGCAGAAGCCTTTGTTGTACCAAGGGGCCACTCGATAATTCTCCTAAGTCACCCCTACTGGGCCCAGATGTGTGCCCCGAGAGCAGAAAGAATGCACATTTCAAACCAACGAGGGCTTGTGTGTGCAAGAGAAATGCCACCCAACATGTAAGTGGATACCTCACACTTCTGAGCCCATACCCAAGACAGAGAAGGGGTATGGATGCCTCAGGAGGCCAGAGGACAGGACTGTTGGTGGCTGGGTGCCTCACCAGGCTAGAATCCTTTTCCTGGGCCAGCTCAGTCTTCAACACTTGGTTTTGGGTCCTCTCCTCCTGAACTGCCTTCTCTAGTCGAAGTATCTCTGCACTCAGCTTCAGGATCTTGTCCTTCTCTGTCTGGGAGATAGCCGAGAAGAAAAATAGAAAAGTGGAGGGGGAAGAAAAAGGAACGCCACTGTCAAGAGCATCATCCCTTACTGTGTCCTTTCCCTTCTTTCAAGAACCATTTTTGGAGCATTTTCCCCTTTCATTTCCTAACGAAGGACAGGACATGAATGAGAGCAGGTGCTGCACTGACCAGGAATGGGCATTATGGCAGGGCCTGGGGCCTAGGACAGAAAATGTTTCTGTTCCTAGGAAGGTGCTCTGGTGATCAGAATTGGGATACCCCGATTAGAGATGGGTCATGCTTGGAAAGTAAAATGTACCTCCCTCAAAGTCCCTCTCCACCCTGAGTCCTCTAAGGTTCTCAACCCCTCTTCTCTCCTCCCAGAGGGTCTGACCACATGTAGGAGTCCCCACAGTGGGGGCAGTGGCCATCATTCTGCCAGGTGCCCCTATCCCTCTACCTCCACACTCTGCAGCAGCCCTGCCCGCTCCTTGCTCCACTGGGATTTTTCTTCTTTCAAGTGCAAACTGAGCTCAGCCAGCCTGCCGTTGACCTCAGCCACTTCCAGGCGGCTGCGGTGTAGTTCTGCTATGGTGCGGTCCCTGGCTGCTGCTGCGCTGGCCAACTCCTCCCCAAGAAGGGTGGCTTTCTGCTGGCTTGAGGCTGTAAGCTCCTGGGCCCCTCGAAGCTGCTCCTTCAGGGGCTCCAGCTCAGCCTGAGGAGAAAGGAGGAGATGGAGATCAGAGTTCCCTGTGAATCATTTGTCAGCCGGGGAGGTAACCAGGCTCCCTCCACTCCACTGCATTAGGACTCAGGGTTGTGTTGTTTCGTCTTTAGCCATGTCTTTCCCTCTCTTTAGACACTCAGCCTTTTCTACAACCTGCCCTTGGAACTTTCCCTGTTTTCTGTTGCCTCGGGGCCTTCACTCACCACCCGCTGCTGGACCTGGCCTAGGGTGTCCTTCATCTGGGCCACCTTGTCTTTCAGTCGCTGGGCCTGAGCGCTCTGCTCCTCTTTCCAGCTCTTGGCCTCCTGCAGCTCCAAATTTAAGCGATGGTTCTCCTGTTGTGCCGCTTGGAGCTCAGCCTGATGGAAGTGGAAAGCGGGTAAGGAAAGGGGTATGTGTGTTGGGGTGCTGCGGCAGGTGAACCATGGTGATGAGAGAAGTCAAGGCTCCACTTCTGAGATGTAACACACACTCAAGCCTTCAGCTATTGCCAGCCGTTCTTGGGTTCTCAGCTCAAAGAACTCAATCCTGCATATCCAGTCTCCAGCTTCCAAAATGAGGTATCCAGCATCACAGCCTCAGGTCTTACATGGAGGCATTCCATGTACTATTTCTGCTACTCCATTCTTTCTCTTAAATCAAAACTCAGTCTCCATGCCCTACAGGTCCCTCAAACTCAACAGTCTACCTCGCACCCCATCCCAGTCTTTCCTCATCTTATTTCTGTCCATGGTACCAACTAGCTCCCAAGTTACTCAGGATGGTTCCCTTGGTGCCATGCTTGGCTCCGTCCTCCCCCTAGTGGTCCACAGAAAAGCCTATTGCTTCTCCATGCTGGTCACAGCCATTTCCTCTTCTCTATTACCACCACAACCACATTATCTCAGACTCTGGTCATTTCCCGCTTGGACTACTGAATAACTTCATAACCAGCTCATTCTCCACGAGGCAATCGGATTCTTCTTCTTTAGGTACAGTTCTGATTCTTTAAGTACAGTTATTATCTTTTTTAGATTTAGGGTCTGGCTCTGTTGCCAAGACTGGAGTGAAGTAGTATGGTCATAGCTCACTGCAGCCTCCAACTCCTGGGCTCAAGCAATTGTCTCACCCCAGCCTCCTGAGTAGCTGGGATTATAGGTGTGTGCCACCATGCCTGCCTAATTTTTGTATTTTTTGTTGAGACGGGGTCTCACTATGTTGCCCAGGCTTGTCTCGAACTCCTGAGCTCAAGGGATCCTCCTGCCTTGGCCTCTCAAAATGTTGGGATTACAGGCGTGAGCTACTGCACCTGACCATAAGTACATGTCACCCCTGCTTGAAAAATCATCAAAGCGTTTCACTGCTTGTGGAATAAAAATGAAGCTCAGGATCCTCCACAGTCTGACCTTGGCCTTATCTCAAACACTTTAGTCACACATTCAAATGCCCTGAGTGTTCTGGCCTCTAAGCCTGTGCTCATGTCTTTTTCTGTTCCTAGAATAGCCTCACTCTCATCTCTGTCTATTCAAATTCTACCTGTTCTCACTGCTGCACAAAGGGCTTTTAAATGATCTTCCACACAAACCCAGGGTTCTGAGGAAGCAATTTAGGAGTTCTGTAGATATTTGATTTGAACTTCTTCTACATTATTAACAATTATGTTAAAAAACAAAACAAAACAAAACAAAACACAAGGCCAGCTGCAGTGGCTCACAGCTATAATCTCAGCGTGATTTGGGAGGCCGAGGCGGGTGGATCAGCTGAGGTCAGAATTTCAAGACCAGCCTGGCTAACATGGTGAAACCCCATCTCTACTAAAAACACAAAAACTTAGCCAGGTGTGATAGCTGGTGCCTGTAATCCCAGCTACTCAGGAGGCTGAGGCAGGAGAATCGCCTGAACTCGGAAGGCGGATGTCGCAGTGAGCCAAGATCATGACACTGCACTCCAGCCTGGGCAACAAGAGTGAAACTCCATCCCAGAAAAAAACATAAAAAGTAAAAGGGCCAGATGCGGTGGCTCACGCCTATAATCCCAACACTTCGAGGCGGGCGGATCACGAGGTCAGGAGATTGAGACCATTCTGGCTAACATGGTGAAACCCCGTCTCTACTAAAAATACAACTCAAAAAACCAAGTCCAAGTCATACTTTAGCCAGGCAAGGTAGCATGTGCCTGTAGTCCCAGCTACTACTTGGGAGGCTGAGGCAGGAGAATCACTTGGACCTGGGAGTCAGAGGTTGCAGTGAGCCAAGATTGTCCCATGGCACTCCAGCCTGGGTGACAGAGTAAGACTCTGTCTAAAAAACAAAACAAAACAAAAAAACAAACAAAAAAATCCCATAAAATCACAAGTTAACACACTGGAGATCACCAATTGATATGTGTTTCCAGGTTAATTCATTTTTGTGCAAAGCTCATAACAGTTTCTGTTGTATTTTCTATTGAATTGAAGAGTAAACTGAGCTGCAAGGTGGACAGTTTAAAAATGGTTATCATTTGCACCTACTTCTGTGTGACTCAATGTGTTCTCAATATTGCACAACCAAAATAAAATACAGAAATACATTAGTTGCTGAGGCTGACAGAAAGTCATCCATAACCTCTAATTTCAAAGTCTGGTATGTCTCAAAATTACCAAATTGCTTTCATTAACTTTTAAGTAAATGTTATACATTCAAATTTATAAAAATGAAGTTATAGTACTAAAATATTGTTTTTGTTTATTCAGTGAGATTCCACACAAGATGAAAAACTTTACTGGTGGGAGGAAAAGAAACAGTTTGGCTAAAAAGGTTTGGAAGTACTAGGCTACTACATGCTCCACACCCCACCCCTTTTTTTTTTACTGAGACAGCATCTCACAATCTTACTCTGTCACCCAGGCTGGAGTGCAGGGGTATGATCATAGCCCACTGCAGCCTCGACCTCCTGGGCTTAAGCAATTCTTCCACCTCAGCATCCTGAGTAGCTAGGACTACAGGTGCATGCCACCACGCCTGACTGTTTTAAAACTTTTTGTAGAGATGGGGTCTTACTATATTGCCCAGGCTGGTTTTGAACTCCTGGGCTTGAACAATCCTCCTACCTCAGCCTCCTAAAGTGCTACAATCACAGTCATGAACTACCATGCCTAGCCATGAACCTCACCTGCTTTTTTTTTTTTTTTTCTTTTTTGAGACAAATAGAGATGGGGTTTCACCATGTTGGCCAGGCTGGTCTTGAACTCCTGACCTAAAGTGATCCACACGCCTCGGCTTCCCAAAGTGCTGGGATCACAGGTGTTGAGTCACCGTGCCCGGCCTTCACACCCCTTTTAAAAAGACTTTTCTAATGTCTCTAACAAGATGTGCTCTCATATACCTTCCTAGAGCCCTACAATACTTCATTAGATTTCTCTTGAGGCCAGGCGCAGTGGCTCACACCTGTAACCTTAGCACTTTGGGAGGCTGAGGTGGGTGGATCTCTTGAGATCGGGAGTTCGAGACCAGCCTGCCCAACATGGTGAAATCCTGTCTCTACTAAAAATACAAAAATTAGTTGGGTGTGGTGGTGCGCGCCTGTAATCCCAGCTGCTCGGGTAGCTGAGACATGAGAATCACTGGAACCCGGGAGGTGGAGGTTGCAATGAGCTGAGACAGTACCGCTGCACTCCAGCCTGGGAGACAAAGTGAGACTCTGTCTCCAAAAAACAAACAAACAAAAAAGATTTCTCTTGTGACACTTCTTATATTCCACTTTTCCACTTTGACTAATTCTGATTTGGATATATGTTTTACGTTCCCTAGTAGAGCACACACACTGTCTTCTTTACATTTTTATTCCCTTTGGTGTCCGGCTCTCAGAAAGGAATCAAACACTGACTGAACAGTGGAGAAAGTAAACCAACTCAGAGCCCCTTACCTCGCTTTGCTCCTTGTCTGCTTGCACTTCTTTCAGTTGCCCAAGGAGCTTCTCTTGTTCCCGGGTCAGGGCCTTCACTGTGTCTCTAACCCTGGGATTGGTAGGATGACATGTCAGACAATCTGCTCCACCCAGAGAAGGAAAGGACTCAGACCTCTGTCTTGTGCCCTTCTACTGCTGCTCTAGGCCCAGAGCTCCATTTCACTCTGGGATGCATAAATCCCCAAGCCAGCGGATCCAGTTCTAAGCCCCAAGATTCTAGGTTCTAGAGCACGATTTAGAAATAAATAGTTTTTCTTATCTTTTGATGTAATATTTTAAGGAATGTTCTGCTGATGGCTCCTACTGTTTTCACTCAAGCAAGAGACTAGAATCTAGTCTTTTTGAGACAAGGGCAGTCATTATTGATTATAAACTTTTGATCTAGACCAGAAGTTGGCAGACTTTTTCTGTAAAGGGCCTGATAGTAAAGTTTGTATGCTTTGCAGGCCAAGTGGTCTCTGCGGCATCTACTCAACTCTGCCATTGTAGTGCAGAAGCATCCATTGACAATATGCAAGTGAATGAGCGCGATGTTCCAATAAAACTTGAACAAAGATTTGAAGTTATACAACTTTCATATGTCACAAAATATTCTTCTTTTTTTCTTAACCATTAAAGGATGTAAAAACCATTCTTACCTGTGGGCTATACAACAGGTGGCAGGCTAAATATGGCTTGTGGGCCACAGTTGTTGACCCCTGGTCTAGGCAGTCTCTAATCTTTTTCAGATGCTCAATCTGACCCCGGCTTTTCTAACCTATGACTTAGAATGTAGACAGCTAATATCTCCCTAGGTGAGGCTAACTAACATGTCCTGAAGAAGCCTCTCAGATGAACTCACTTATTACTTTGGGCCTTGGACAAAATGTCTTTCTTTTAAACAGTTTTAAAAGATATCACATCTCCCAGTACTAAATGAAACATAATTATGTCATTTAATGAAATAAAGAGCTAGAGTATTTAAACTGGTGAAAATTTGAAGGAGGGACATGGGAGGTGGTGGTCACTATTTATGCTACTTGGTAGAGGTAACAGTTTTCTGGAAGAAGAGAGAAATGTATTCTATGTGTCTCCAGAGGTCTCAGAACCTCCAGTTCTGGTAAGTTACAGGAGGGTAGAGTTCGGCTTAATACAAGAGATACGAAAATGACAACTGTCAAATGGTGAAAGAGGCTGCCTCCTGAGGGTGACCTCTTACACACCCTCATACATACCTTACATTCCCAATGCTAAGAGTCTATAATTTGTATTTTTTCAGGGGAGAGATTCCATAATATTCCTGGATCACCAGTTCTAATGTTTCTTAATAGTAACTTTCCTGTGGTCAAATCTGAAATCCATCCTCTCTCTCTCCTCTTTTTTTTTTTTGAGATGGGGTTTCACTCTTGTTTTCCAGGCTGGAGTGCAATGGTGCAATCTCAGCTCACCGCAACCTCCGCCTCCCAGGTTCAAGCGATTCTCCTGTTTCAGCCTCCTGAGTAGCTGGGATTACAGGCGTGCACCACCACACCCGGCTAATTTTGTATTTTTAGTAGAGACAGCGTTTTTCCATGTTGGTCAGGCTGGTCTCGAACTCCTGATCTCAGGTGATCTGCCTGCCTCGGCCTCCCTAAGTGCTGGGATTACAGGCATCAGCCATCTTGCCCAGCCATATCCATCCTCTCTTATCTTGCACTGACTTCTATCCATTCTCTTCTTCCAAATCCTCCACTCCTAGCTCTGGCTCAGCTTTTGCTGCACAATAAGTGGTAACTATGATTATTTCTGAAGAGGAGGAGTACAGACTAGTGTTTGGAAAGATGGGAGAGAGCTCAGCAGAAAAGGGTATCCCCAGTAACTGGACTAGCCTGAGTGCGGGTGAGGGAAAGAGGAAGCATGTGGGACAGACAGCAGGTCTGCCTGCCTGAGAGAGGAGGCTGGAGTGAGGGGGTCATGGAAGGGAGAGGAAGTGACGGGGTCAGTGGACTCCCTCACCTGTCCAGCTCCACCTCCTTCAGCAGCACTTTCTCACTGATGGTCTGGATGTCGTCCTCCAGCTCCAGGATGCGTGCCACATGGTCTCCCTGCTGCCGGCTCAGGATGTCCCTTTCTTCTGTGATCTCCCCATGGGACCTCGAAATTCCCTGTAATTAAGTTTCCCCCAGAAGAAAAAGGAGGTTGGGATTCATCTCTCAGGTGGTGGAACAAAGACTTAGGAAGAGAACTCCAGGGTCTGACCGCTCCCACCCGGCTATCACATCGCCTTCCTTGAAAAAGAAACTGTAAGGGAACATTCCCTTACCTATCAGTGTAGCTACCTCCACCTTAGCCCAGCATTCCTATGTTCAAAGACCTGAGTCTCATTACAAGTTTGGAACATGTCTTTTGTCATATCAAGTTTAATCCCACCTATTACCCCTTAAATCTATTTCCTTGATGCCAGAACCATCATAAAAGCCAATTAACATCTCTCCTCCACCCTCTTCACTGGCTTCAGATTTTAGACACTGGGTGAGCAGCCAGGCCCTGTCCCCTACCTGGCCCAGCTCCCACCTTGTACTGTTCTGTCAGCTCCGCGTGCTCCTGCCTGGCAGTTGCCAGAACCCTCTCGAGCTCCTGCACTCGGCTCCTCAGCTCTGTCACCTGTGCCTCCAGCTGCAGCTTCAGCTGCATCAGGTCATTCCGTTCTTGCTGGCTCTCATCGAGCTGGTTCTATAGGTGGCAGGACGAGAAGGGGGTGTGCTGGCGAAGTACCCCTTCTAAGGGCCCATCCTCACCCGGAATGCACCAGGTGCATTTTGGGGTTGGGGAGTTATGTAGCTTTGGGCTCTAAAGAGGTAAGAAAGGGCATGCTCGGTGTGCTACGGAATCCCATCCATCACCCGGTCAGATGCGCCAGCTCATGGCGCCCTGAACTGCCCATCCCTCTTTTTCCTTTCCCTGCCCTAGGCCTGGCCCTTTCTTCACCCAGGAATTGCAGGAATCCCTCATGTGGCACAAGTCAATGAATATAGACACAAGGGATGACTCCCCTAATTTTACCCTATCTGCTCTGGAGTTGGACAGACTTGGGTTCAAATCTTCAACACAATTTTTACTAGCTATGTGATTTTTTTTAAGATAGAGTCTCACTATGTTGCCCAGGCTGGAGTGCAGTGGCTATCCACAGGTGCAACCACAGCATACCATAGCCTCAAATTCCTGGCCTCCAGCAATCCTTCCATCTCAGTGTCTCCCAAGTAGCTGAGACTACAGGCGCATGCCATGACACCCAGCTAGCTATGTGATTTTCAACAAGCATCTTAACTTCTCTAAGTCTCTGTGTCTTCATCTGTAACATGATCCCTTAGTCTGGATTGTTGTAAGGCTCAAATGAGAATCATGATTGTGAAAACACAACAGAGTAGGAGCTCACATATCTTTCACTTATGTGACATAAATATCTTGCTATTCCTGTGGTGATGCCATGTATTTATTAGACTTGGAGTTCTAGAGGACAGGGTTTGTCTGAATCACAGGAAAGCTTCTCATTCTCACCTTCTCAGCCTTCCCCAGTCCCTTCCTTATCTGGGGAATATATTTCCTCTCCACCTGGCCCTGTCTCTTGTCTTCCTTCAGGAAGTCTTTCATGCTAATATCTGCCTTTACTCCTTAATTCTTCTCTATTTGGCTCAATAGAAATATAATACAAGCCACATATACACTTTAAAATGTTCTAGCAGGCACTTAAAATTAATGAGAAACATTTGAAATTAATTTCTAGAATACACACACAGATGGAGTCTCATTCGTCACCCAGACTGGAGTGTAGTGGTGCGATCTCGGCTCACTGCAACCTCTTCCTCCCAGGTTCAAGCAATTCTCCTGCCTTAGCCTCCGAAGTAGCTGGGATTACAGGCACCCGCCAGCATGCCCAGCTAATTTCTGAATTTTTAGTAGAGATGAGACACCATGTTGGCCAGGCCAGGCTGGTCTTGACTCCTGACCTCAAGTGATCTGCCTGCCTCGATCTCCCAAAGTGCTGGGATTACAGGTGTGAGCCACTGTGCCTGGCCAAGAATATTTAGTCTAACACAGTCTATCTAAAACAGCATCATTTTGGCCAGGTGCAGTGGCATATACCTGTAGTCCCAGCTATGCAGGAGGTTGAGCTGGGAGGACTACTTGAGCCCAGGAGTACAAGATCAGCCTGGGCAACATAGCAAGACCCCATCTCTTAAAAAAAAAAAAAAAAAAGAGGTTTAAAAAGACCAAAACGGCTGGACGCGGTGGCTCATACCTGTAATCCCAGCACTCTGGGAGGCTGAGGCAGGTGGATCAAGAGGTCAGGAGACTGAGACCATCCTGGCCAACATGATGAAATCCCATTTCTACTAAAAATACAAAAATTAGCTGGGTGTGCTGGCAGGTGCCTGTGGTCCCAGATACTTGGGAGGCTGAGGCAGAAGAATCGCTTGAACCCAGGAGGTGGAGGTTGCAGTGAGCCAAGATTGCACCACCACACTCAGCCTGGGTAACAGAGCGAGACTGTCTCAAAAAAAAAAAAAAAAAAAAACAAACCAACCAAGACAGTATCATTTCAATATGTAGTCAAAATAAAAATTATTCAAGTCTTTTACATTCTCTTTAAAAAATACTAAGTCTTCAAAATCTGGAGTATATTTTACCCATACAGTCCATCTCAATTTGGATTAATTGCATTTGAAGTGCTCAAAAGCCCTATGTAGTTAAGAGCCTTTGGCATTGGACAGTACAGGTCTGGGGTCTTCCCTATCTGCTCTCACTCCCCACTTGTCCTGGAAGCAGGTCTTGTGCTGCCTTTTCTCTGAACGTCCCCTGGAGTAGCCCCCCTCTACCCTTTAGATCTTCCTCTAGGGCACAGGGCAGGTTGTAGCGCGTGGAGAAGGAAGGCTCCGAAAGTTCTTATGAAATCCTGAGTTACACTGGCCTGTGGGTGGTCTGCTTTCCTGCCTTACATGTTCGTGTATGTCTATGTTAGACTGAGACGTTCCTGGAGGCAGAACTTTGTCTAACTTTCAGTCAGGTCTTCAGTTGAGGCCACAGATGAGGGGAGGGTAAGGTGGGAAGGGTCCTCTTGCAATGCTGTCTCCCACTTCTTGCCTGGGAGTAACTCCATTGCTATTTTCTCACCTGTAGCACAGTTGCCTTGGGGACAACCAGCAGGATGTCAGAGCCCCCATCAGCCTCCTCCATGGTCACCAGTTCATCCATGGGCCTTGGCTCTCGGAACTGGAAAGGGGGGCTCTGCCCACACACCCGGCCCTGGCGGTTCACATATCGGAACTGGTAGAGCTGAGCTCCTGGTTTGGGCAGGTAGCTGGCTGTGGGAAGAAGAATGGACCCAGGACCCCAAATGATCCACTGTCCTTGACTCCAGTCCCTTGCTCAGTGTTCCATACACTGTTTCTTCTCTTCTCCGCTTCCTACAAGCCATTTCTTTTCCCAGGTACTCTTCTCCTTCCTTTTGGCCTATCCCTCTCCTTTCTTTCTTTCCCAAACCCACTCTCCTTCTATCACAATCATAATAATGCCAGTTACCATGTAGTGAGTGCCTATCATGTACCAGACACTGCAGTAACCACTTTTATTTTGAGACCTAGTCGTGCTCAGTTGCCCAGGCTGGAGTGCAGTGGCGCAATCTTGGCTCATTGCAACCTCTGCCTCCCAGGTTCAAGCGATACTCTTGCCTCAGCCTCCTGAGTAGCTGGGACTACCGGCATGCACCACCACACCTGGCTGATTTTTTTTGTATTTTTAGTAGAAACAGGGTTTTGCCATGTTGGCCGGGCTGGTCTTGAACTCTTAACCTAAAGTGATCCATCCACCTTGGCCTCCCAAAGTGCTGGGATCACCATGCCCGGCCTATAGCTTTCATTTTAAATCCTCATAATGTCCCTATAAGCCAGGCATCCCCTTTTACTGTTAAGATGACAGACACAGGGAGGTTACATAATTTGCCCGACGCCAAACAGCTTGTTAGAGGTGAGATTTGAACCCAGGTCTTTCCCTCTTTTCAACACATAACGCTACTTTCCCCTCTTTCTTACTCCCTTGTTCTTCCTTCTTTGGGTAGGATATGGGACTAGATGCCCTCTGAAGTTCCTTCCATTTTGAAGTCCCTGATTCTGCGATAATCCCATGATTTTCTATCTGCGAAGCCCTCTTGGATATATTATCATTATATTTATTTTCATTTATTTTTCCTTGTCCTTTGTGCCTAACTTTTATGTTTCTGAGCCCACCACCTTCTTCTAAACCTCTACTCCCTTGGCTCCTCTCTCCCAATTTTCCAACTTCCCTTGTACCTTGGAACTGGACACTGGTGTGGATGGGGGAACCATCGGTTGTACTTTCAGGCACAGAAGACCACACAAATGTGTGGTAATCCCGAACACAGGCAGCCTCCACCTATGAAAGCCCAAGGTTGAAGAAAGGCATGGTGAGGGAACTACCTTCTATGGATGGAAGAACAGGATGAAGGATTGAATGGGGCGGGGGGTGAGGCAGGCAGGATGGAGCTACAGTGACAACAATGACAAGAGGAAGGGAAAGTGGAGGGACACTAATGTGTCAGTAGAGAACAAGGCATAGACAAAGAAAAGGTGAGCTTTGTGTATACAGTGAGCGGCCTCTGTCATCTGTGAGATCTTTCTCCCTCCTTCTCTATCAATCTGAGGTTGAGAATCCAAGAACCCAATCATTCCCCTTATTCCAACCAACCCACAGCCCATAAACCTAAGCCAAAAGGGGTTCCAGGGATACCTTGAAGATGCCAATCCAGTCGCTGGCACTGGGCATGGTGCCTGGGGGAAGGGTATAGTGACATTCCACCTTGGTGTTGGGGATGTAGGTCCGGGCTACATTCAGAAAGTTGACTCCACCACGGGATGGTGCCCGGCTTAGTGGTGATTCTTCCATCCTGTCCTTGAGATATCTTTCCTCCTATGAAAGAAAGGGTTGATATCCTAAAGTCTCTCCAGTCCACCTCCTCCCCCTGACAGCTCCAGCACCACACATTCACAGCCCCTGCCACTACACCTGGGGATAAGGGCTACCTGGTTCCAGTCCCTGAGGGTTATGGAACCTTGTAGAGGTATCACTCTTAGTCTCATCTACATCTAGGATGTAGATCTGGCCTTCCAAGTCAGTCCCCATCCAGTCTCACACTGTACCTTCTCTGGCTCACAGACCTTTCTGAGGGTTCAGGCTCCTCTAATTTTTGCTTCCAAAAGGGCACTGAGGGGGACAGAGCCTGAGACTTGGTTGACAGCTTCCATTTCTCCATTCCATTTCCCACACCTGGCTCTTGAATTCAAAATCCAACTGAGGTGTGGGGCCCTCTCATTGAGAGGTGTCCTTACCTACTCCCAAGCTTGTTGACCTAGCTGTACCCAGGAATGAGTTATGACATAAGAAAGCAGCAACTAATCTCTGAATGCTTGAGTTTTCAGAGCTAGAATGTGGCTGGGGGTCGGGGAGGAACTGACAACCCAAATCCTTAGGCTCCTGAGCTCTCAGCTATTTTCATGCCTCTGAGCTGTCTACCTCCAGTAACTCTAGGGAAGCAGAGGGCTTCTGCTGGCATCCAAGAGACAAAGGGAAGGGGAGGATATAAGGAAAGACAGGTCCTGTCCCTCGACTTATTATTCCAGGAAGTCAAGAATTCTGGAGGCGGCAGCTTCAAGGGTGGAATGAGGCACTTAGCAGGAACGTGGAGGGGGGGGTGGGAGATGGAATGTGGGGGCCTGGAGCCAGGAAAGCCCCACCCTGGGACAGGGAACAGAATAGAAAGTGGGAAGTAAGGGGCCTCAAGAAGTGGAAAAGGATATTTAATGTTGAGGAAAGGGAAGATATATCGTTCAAAAGAATGTAAGATTCTTCTCTCCAGACTGTGCCTGCAGCAGGACTAGAAACCTAGTTTCACTTTAGTATTTCTTTTCTCATTTTCTCTCTGCTCCCCTCAGCCTTGATCCTTCCATCTGTTTGTATTGGTAGCTGGAGACACACTATAGGACGGGGTTGAGAGGAAGGGGTGTTCTAAGTTAGCTGGGGAGAGTTAATTGGAAAATATAAGGGTGCGGCAAGAACAGATAACAATCAAGAGATGCCTCAGTCCAGGGCTGTGAGATGGCCCTCTTATTCATCATTCCTCTCCAGCCCACTAATCTGCTTCCTGTGTCACTCACAGCCGACGTGTCCAACCAGACATTGCCACTAGTCATATGCACGCCCCCAAAATCACAAACCCACACAGGCTGAAGTCCCTGGGACAGGGAGCTTTAAAAGAAAACAGAAACTCAGTGGATAAAGGTGAGCCAGCAACACAAAAAGGAGCAAATTCTGCCCCCTAAATAGGTAGGACAAGAAGTTTTTTTGGATGTTCATCTCTCTGAAAAATTCCTAGTTAAATCTAGTCCATGTTTTCTCCAAATGCAATTCTTCCAGCTTTCTAAGGGTGGGGGTAAACTGTCCCCAAAGATCTATACCTGGAGAACCCTAAAAGACACCCCACAAAGAAAATCCGTAACAGCTGTAAACGTTCTTCATGTCCGAAACAAAGTTCGGAGCACCTAAGATGTAGGTGTGTAGCGTGATTCAGATGTTCACATGGCGGGGAGCGGGGTGTCCCACCCCCTACTCTATAGGGCTCTAGAGTTTCTTGACATTCTACAACTTGGAAGTTCCCCCTTCCCCCAGGGATTCAGAGTCGTAAAGGCCTTTGGATTTGCGTAAGGGAGAGCAGGAAGACGTGTGGGGAACAGATCTTACCTGGGACAGAATAAGCAGATTTCAGCTCCCCTAAAGGGATCAAGCTCTATAGACACGAACTGAGAAGAAGGCGAGGACGACGAGGGGGCGCCCCCTCTAATCAGGGTCCCCTTGAAACCACGAACTCCCCAAACAGCGGGGGTGGCTTCTCCAGTACGGAAAGTGTTAAAACCCAAACGCTCCTGCATTCGCCTTCGACAGTTCCCTTATGTTATTCTTCCCCAAGCTGGAAAGTGGGGTGACCCTTCCCTCCCATAAGATCGCCCCCAATTAGGCCAAGTTTCTTACCCAACAGACGGATCAGCTGTTCCCCTCACCTTTCACCAACAACAAAAACAGCACTCCGACTTCTGGAGGGGAGGGAGACAAGTGGGCGCGAGGGCTTCTGGGGTTTGTGGTTCTCTCGCGCCCTTTTGTTGCCGTGCTGAATCGGATCTAGGACTACACATCCCAGAAGGCCGCGCATAAGGAGGGCGGGGAAGAGGGCGCCCGCGGCGGCGGCCTCTCTGAGGCGTCCTGGGAGGCGTAGTTCTCATTCCTATGGCAGAAAACGAGGGTGTGGCAACGAAAGGACTTCACGGCCCATGATCCCTTAGAAGGGGGCCGGCAGTATTAGTGGTGGCTGCTGGTTTGTAACGTGCATTGTTGGGGGCTGGGGAGGATTTACTGCTCTAACGCCTTCTGTATAACGCTTTAACGGTGGGCAGAACGCTTTCAGTTGCGCCATCTCATGTACTTTTCACGCCCACCTGTGAGATAGGCGTTCGCGTTAGGCACACTTAGCAGATGAAGAACCTTATGCCCAGTACGGTTAAGGAGCTGGTGTGAAGTGTCAAAGCTATGAAATGTAGAACTGCACTAGCCTTGGCTGACTCCACGTCATGTGTTCTTGCCACTACACCACAGCTACCCACCATTTTGGGGATGGGAAACTGATAGCTGGGGTAGCAGTTTCTTCTTTGCTTCAATCTCTGGGACAGACCTTGTAAGAATGATGTGTTCTTCACAGCTGACCATTTTCCTCCAACTTGAGGATTTCAGTGCTAAGGGGCCTGACAGTACACATCTGGACTGGGTTTCCCTAGAGTGGCTTCTGGGTTTAGGAAGAGGATATAATTGCCTGAGGTGGTGGTAGGAGCGGTGGAATGAGAAGAATGAAATTGAAAAGGGAGCCTGGCATAATTCAGGACCTGTCACAATTCACAAACAAGCCACTTATAGGGGCCTGTTTGCCCAAGCCTTTTAAGTGGCTTAAATTAATTAGGATAACAATACATGTTGACATTCCGGTTTTTATTTAGGAGAGGTGAAATATTGACACGTCTCCCACACCCCAAATCACTTTATAGACGTGGGCATCCTGCCCCCTTCTCGCCCTTCTCCACTCCTCTAGTCAGAGGCATTCGGAACTACCTCTTTCCCTGGATCTGTATTAAGGGATTAATCTTAAGGATTGATTTCCTCTTCCTAGGTGCCTGCTTTAATTCTCTACTGCACTAAGTTACGGAGCTTCTGCCTTCTCCAGGTTTTTTGGTAGTGTTTTGCTTTTATGACTGAATGCGGTGTCTGCCCTGAATGTCTTTCATCTGAAGATCTCCAGGCACTTAACAATTAGTTACTGGGCTGCACAAACATTAAGGTGATGTGTCTGTGTCATTAGTCAGGATTTATGAGTTAGGGAACCAGCTTCTGGATGAGGAGGCAGGTCAAGGTCTGGAGTGGGTTAAGAGTGAGGCCTGTTCAAGGACCCAAGTCTCAAGTTTCTTGGCTCTTGTCTTCCACCAAAAATAAAGGTCTATAAGAAAGCAGTCTCAGACGGAGCTAAAAATGATAACAACTTCCATTTATTGGGTGCTTACGATCTGTTCAAACTATACTAAGAATTTTCCCATTTAATACAACAGGATTACGTAATAGGCCTTGTTATTATCTCCATTTTACACATAATGAGATTGAGGCACAATTAATGACTTGCCTGGAGTCATCCAGCTAGTAAGTGGTAGAATCAGGATTTAAGCACAAGCAGTCACCATATTCCCAGTTCAGAAACTCTGGCATGTGATACTAACTAACTCCCATTGTTCTAAGGAACAGTGCTGTTCATTAACAGGAGACAAACGTTCACTGAGCATTTATGTGCTCAGTGCAAGACACAGGTAATGTGAAACAGATTCATTCAACAAATATGTGTGTCAGGTACTATGCTAGGTATTCAGTTAATTTTATTGAAAGAATGAATAGAAAGTATTCATTATTTTAATTATAGTCATTACTTTCAAATATTCAAATATTTGAAGAATAGATTAAATTCGGATAGTTTGGCAATATGGGGACTGGGGAGGGTAAGCTTCTTCTAGGCCAAAGCAAAGATTTGGAGGTGGGAATGGATAATGAGCCTAGAGTCATATAATAGCACATCCATTTCAACCTTTATTTATTTATTTAGGCAAACTCAGATTATTGATAATGTCTGCCTGAAATGTTGCATTGAGGATTCTGAGGAAAGAGTGCCGGGTAGTAATGTCTGCCATGTACTCCAGATGGAAAATGGCAGTTGTAGTGGAGGGACTAATTGTTTGAAATTATTTCCTCTCTTCTCTGCCCACTGCCATGTGACTTGCAGTAACTCCTGTAGAAGGAATATATGTCTCATGTCGTTGACTTTGGGCTTTGTCATGTTTCATAGTTTGGCTGAAGAGATGTGGACAGACGTGACTCATGCCATGTTTAAGCACATGAGTTTCCGCTTTCTTGTTCTTCTCTGCCACTAGAATGGGCATATTCCATGTGATCGTTGCCTTCTGCCTGGGCCCTGGAATGAGACTTACAGAGCAGAGCTGCCGCTTCCTCACAACCTGCATGTACATAAAGCAGAAGCCAAACTGGTTGTTGTAAGTCCCTTAGATTTTGGGGTTGGTTGTGATTGCAGCAAAGCTGAATGAAAGCTACAGTTGGAAGCCAGGCGAGGTGGCTCACTCCTGTAATCCCAGCATTTTGGGAGGCCGAGGTGGGCAGATCACTTGAGGTCAGCCTGACCAACTGGGGAAACCTCTCTACTAAAAATACAAAAATTAGCCAGGGGTGGTGGTGTGTGCCTGTAATCCCGGCTACTCGGGAGACTGAGGCAGGAGAATCACTTGAACCCCGGAGGCAGAGGTTGCAGTGAACCAGGATCGTGGCACTGCACCTCAGCCTGGGTGACAGAGGGAGACTCTGTCTCAAAAAAAAAAAAAGCTACCGTTGGATAGTTGGATAATGGAAGATAAAATTGGAAAGACAGACTTAAGCCAGAGTATAGAGAGTTTTGAATGCCAGGTGAGCCAGAGCCTGCTATGTGTTTATCAGAACCTGTTTCTTTGTTTTTCTTGGATACACAGCTGGACCACATTTTTTTTTTTTTTTAGTAGACTAATTTATATTTTTATCTGCCTGGTTGTGTCATTGCTTTGCTAGGTATTTCTTTTTTTTCCCATTTATTTATTTTATTGCATTTTCGGTTTTGGGGTACATGTGAAGAACATGCAAAATTGTTGCATAGGTACACACGTGGCAGTGTGATTTGCTGCCTTCTTCCCCATCACCTACATCTGACATTTCTCCCCTTGCTATCTCTCCCCAGCTCCACACCCCCCACCGTCCCTCCCCTATTTCCCCCCAACTGACCCCAGTGTGTAGTGCTCCCCTCCCTGTGTCCATGTGTTCTCATTTTTCAACACCCGCCTGTGAGTGAGAACATGCGGTGTTTGATCTTCTGCTCTTCTGTCAGTTTGCTGAGAATGATGGTTTCCAGGTTCAACCATGTCCCTACAAAGGACCCAAACTCATCGTTTTTGATGGCTGCATAATATTCCATGGTGTATATGTGCCACATTTTCCCTATCCAGTCTATCGTCGATGGGCATTTGGGTTGGTTCCAGGTCTTTGCTATTGTAAACAGTGCTGCAATGAACATTTGTGTGCACTTGTCCTTATAGTAGAATGATTTGTAATCCTTTGGATATATACCCAGTAATGGGATTGCTGGGTCAAATGGAATTTCTATTTCTAGTGGACCACATTTTTAAGCTTCTCTTTTAATTACTGAGTTCCATTTCCAAGTCTGGCCCATGATTCCCTCCAAAAAAGATCCTCCCTATTTTCTTTCCTGTCTAGCGTGATGAAGATGACCTTAGGCACAGCGACCCTAAAGGCCACATGTTAAAGACAATGGAGCCACAGAATGGAAGGAAGCTGGCTCCCTGAATCATCACTTGGCAGAGAGCTGACCACCAATCAGGATCATGTGTTTTAGATTTCATTTGACCAATAAATCAATTTCTATTTTGTTACACTGCTAAAATGTGGAGTTTATTTTTTATAGTAGCTAGTGTTTTCCTAATCAATACATCATATGCAAAGGTTTGGACTTCATTCCCATCAGGAATGGGAAGTTAGTTACTGAAGATTTTTTGAAAAAGGGGAATAATACTGTGAAGACAGGTGGAAGTTACAATTATTGGGATCAAAGAATATTTCTGAGTGAGGGTGAGAGATCTGAGAACTGTTGGTTTTTTTCAGGCCGTAGGTTAACGCTTGACTGGGGGAAGGGAGATGACCGTCATGATTGTCGAAGGGCCCCATAGAGCTGGGGAAGGAGCTGTGGAAAAATGAATCCCATTTCCCTAAAATGTTAAGTCTCTTTTCTCTTTTGTTAAAGTCCTAATTCTGGGCCAGGTGCTTTGGCTCATGCCTGTAATTCCAGTACTTTGGGAGGCCAAGATGGGTGGATCATGAGGTCAGGAGATTGAGACCATCCTGGTCAACATGGTGAAATCCCATCTCTACTAAAAATACAAAAATTAGCCGGGTGTGGTGGCACGCTTGTAGTCCCAGCTCCTCGGGAGGCTGAGGCAAGAGAATCGCCTGAACCCGGGAAGTGGAAGTTGCAGTGAGCAGAGATCACACCATTGCACTCCAGCCTGGCGACAGAGCGAGACTCCATCTAAGAAAAAAAAAGTCGTAATTCTAGTATTGCCTCATCTAGCTTGGTGCCCACCATGTAGTAAATGTTTAGTGGAAGTCGGCCCTGGACTCTGGGAATGCCTTGAGGGGCTACCACTAGTTGACTGCCTACTATGTGAGAGGTGCTCTTTTCACCCATTGAATCATCACAATAACTGTGCAAATTGCTATCCAGATTTTACAGATGAAGAGACTGAGACTTTAACCTGCTGGCTGGGTGCGGGCGGTGGCCCATGTCTGTAATCTCAGCATTTTGGGAGGCCAAGTCTGGCGACTGCTTAAGCTCAGGAGTTGGAATCCAATGACAAAACCCTGTTTCTACTAAAAATACAAAAATTAGCCAGGTGTGGTGGTGTGCATCTGTAGTCCCAGCTGCTAGAGAGGCTGGGGTGGGAGAATCACATGAGCCTGGAAAATCAAAGCTGCAGTGAGCTGTGAATGCAACATTGCATTCTAGCCTAGATGACAAGAGTGTGACCTGCCTAAAAAAAAAAAAAAAAAAAAAAAAAAATAGAGTAACTTGCTCAAGGTCTCTAAGACAACCTATACCTTTTCTATATAACAAGATGCTTTCTGAGAAAATGATAAAGGCCAGTGTTATTAATAGTACTGAGTGTCTGCCATGTGCCAGGCACGCTGCTGGGTGTTCTACAAACACACAGAGGCAGCTCTGTCAGATATTGTAGGTTGTTATGAATGTTTCCAAACTGTGGACTCTGTGGGAAGTAGGAAAAACATTGATGTAATTTTAGCGCAAAGTTTGATGATTTGAGGCTTTTCTTTAAGGTTTCTGGCCCTTTTTTTTTTTTGTCCTCATAGTTCCTTGGCTGACCTAGGGCTGGGTGGAAGAATGGTTTAGAGTTTTCAACAATACTCAGGTCACAGCTCCTTCACTCTGCACACCCATTGACCCACTCTACTATGAAAGAGTTCAGATCACCTATTATCAAAGTGTTCAGGTCATATTATTATTATGTAATTTTTATCAATGAAAAAACCAAAGTTCAGAAAGATTAAATGACTTGACGAAGTCACATAGCTAGTATCAAATTTATTTATTTTTGAGACAGACTCTGGCTCTGTCACCCACGCTGGAGTGCAGTGGCGTGATCTTGGCTCACTGCAACCTCTGCCTCCAGGGTTCAGGCAATTCTCCTGCCTCAGCCTCCTGAGTAGCTGGGATTACAGGAGCCTGCCACCATGCCTCACTGATTTTTGTATTTTTAGTAGAGACGGGGTTTCACTGTGTTGGCCAAGCTGGTCTTGAACTCCTGACCTCAGGTGATCCGCCCTCCTCGGCCTCCCAAAGTGCTGGGATTACAGGCGTGAGCCACCATACCTGGCCCCTAGTATGAGATGTAAATCAAGAATTCCTGACTCTGGAATGCTCTCCTGTGCCCTCTGCATCCATCACAGTCCAAATGCGACAGTGCTACAAATCTGATTTCTTGCCATTTTGGCCTCATTACCTTGATTCGTGTATTAGAGTAGATATAACAGCTGCAACATAAAACCCCCAGGTCTCAGCATCTTAACATGATAAAGATTTATGTATCACATAAGTCCAATGTGGACATTTGTGGTCAGGTGACTCAAGAATCCAGATCTGTTCATGCTGTGGAACTGCCATCCGAAATATGTGGCTTCAGGTTGCCCAGGTGTCACTGCCAGCAGATGGGGATGAGCGAGCATGTGGAGAAGGCACAGCCACTCTAAACTTTCACTGGAAGTAACACATTACTTCCACTTATATCCTATTGGTGAGAACCAGTCATATGGACTCAAGTAATAGGGACTGGCGGTAGAATCTAGCCATTGCCTGCCTGTTCCATGCTCTATCAACATGGGTTGAATCAACATTCTGGAGTCAGTAGACTTGTCCTAGGGGAAGTGATACCTCTGATGAGAAGACCTTTTATTCTAATCTGGCCACATGCTCTATGAGTCACATTTATTCCACTGAAATGTATAGATCACCAACTTTGTGAACCGCACATAAGCAAAGATCCCCTTCAGAAGAAAGACTGGAATTCAGTCAACCAAAATGTTGGTGGGGCATCAGGCCACAGGCTGATTGGTCATGAACGCCTGGCTTAGTCATGTTAAGACACTGAGATCTGGTGTTCTATTTCCCTCAAGATAGTGTTATTCATACAGTTATAGAGTTTATTTATTTTTATTATTCTATTGATAAAAAGTCTGAAAATTTTTACCCTGTCACAAAATAAATAGCTGCGTGTTGTGGTCACAATTTGAGTAGCTGATTTCATGTACTTTGCAATTCTATCACCTTTCTGGCAGTTTCAAAATACTTCTCTCGGGGAAGCTCTGTGGCTTGGCCTGTCCCCTATGCTTCTCTGGCCTTCCCAGTGCGATGGGAATGGGGGGGCGGGTAGGTTAACCCAGGAGCCTGAGGACTCAACAGGGAGGCAGCTCAGTTATCTTGTTAAGACCTGTCTCTTCTGCCAGAGAGAGCGCAGCAAATTGGATAGACACAGAGATGTTTAGGAAGTAGCATTCAGGATGTGGGCAATGAAGAGGGAAACAGGACACTTTGACTTTTGAAGTAATGATTTTGATGTCTGAAGACATGTGACGCTAAAAAAGTTAAACTTTTAGCTTAAAATAATCACTTAAGGGGGTCAGGCATGGTGGCTCATGCCTGTAATCCCAGGACTTTGGGAGGCTGAGGTGGGAGAATTGCTTGAGCTCAGGAGTTCGAGACCAGCCTGGACAACATGAGAAAACCTCATCTCTACAAAACATAAAAAAATTAGCTGAGCATGGTGGCGTATGCCTGTAGTCCCAGCTACTTGGGGGCTGAGGTGGGAGGATGGCTTGAGCCCAGGAGGTCGAGGCTGCAGTGAGCTGTGTTCGCATCACTGTATTCCAGCCTGGGTAACAAGGTGAGACCCTGTCTCAAAAAAGAAAAAAAAAAGTCTCTAAGTCACTTGCTATATGCAACAGGCTTCCATGTCCCATCCTAACCTGAAGGAAGGGTCATGGTTGATCCCAGGGTACTGGCTTGGGCATTTGAGTGGATGTAGTTCTTCCCTGAGAGGGGACATTGGCAGAAGGAGTACGTTTATTTATTTTCATTTTTATTTTTTTGAGATGGAGTCTCACTGCCACCCAGGCTGGTGTGCAATGATCTTGGCTCACTGAAACTTCCATCTCCCGGGTTCAAGTGATTCTCCTGCTTCAGCCTCCCCCAGTAGCTGGGATTACAAGTCTGTGCCACCACATCCAGCTGGTTTTTTTGTTATTTTTAGTAGAGACAGGGTGTCACCATGATGGCCAGCCTGGTCTCGAACTTCTGACCTCAAATGATCCACTCGCCTCGGCCTCCCAAAGTGCTGGTATTACAGGTGTAAGCCACCACACCTGGCCAGGAACAGGTTTAGGGGTGGGCATAGGTAAGGTTGGCATGGGGGAGGTTGTTCTATTTCTGGGCAAATAGGATTTGAGTTACATCTGAGTCTCCAGAAAGCCATTGCTTGTATTGTGGAGCCCAACCTTCCTGGCCATCTTTGTATAGTTCCAAACTTGCTCTTAAGTGATAAGATGGAGGATGATTTAGAAACCTATGTGCTGGGAAAAACAGGCAAGCCAATCATAAAGGCTGTGTGTGTGTGTGTGTGTGTGTGTGTGTGCGCGCGCGCGCGCGTGTGCATGCGTGCATGTATTAGTACCAAGAGGAGCAGGTTCTGAAATTGCAAAGGCAATAGATATTCATCTGTATTGTATACAACATTTGTATATTAATTGGCTCACATAAAAATGCATGGAGACCTCCCAAGTCTCAGCCCCTCTGCTAATAGAGGAATCATTCTTATCATTGTTTCTGATGGCACCCCCACAATCTCTAGTTTTCCTGTTGGTGAGGTTGGGCTAAAATAACTGGTTGTCCTCTCTCTTGTTTGTGGTGACTTCCTTTGTGCCCGGGTCAGAGTTGTAGGGGTGGGAGTGGCTGTTGAGGGGCCAGAGATGGGCTTAGTCTGGTCTCAGGGGGTGTCGTCATCTGAGTCTATCCGAGTCCCTCTTTCTGTCTCTCTCCACTCACAGATTGTGTGGCATTTTGGAAGGTGGAGTGCCTGGGCACCTAGCCCACCACTTCCCGCCCCAATCTGGCCCTGAGCACAAGCCACATGGTGCTGGCCATCAGCCTGGCCTCTTGCCCATCTATTACAGCCTCAGCTGCCAGGCTGGCACAGGTGCCAAAAGAACTAGGCCCTGCCCTCCCCCAGTGCTGTTCCTGGGGCCTAAGCAGCAGAGAGTTAGATGGAGGAGAGCACACTCTGGAGTGGGAAGCCAAGTCCAACATCCCTTGATGGTGGCAGGAAGGTGTCTGTTCCTTAAGGAGTGCTGCTGAGGTACTACGCTGTAGTCGTGGAAGAAGACGTGGGTTGACAGCTGCTTAACATGTATATGGGTGGGCGCTGTGTTGGGAGGAGACAGGAGCGGTTGCTATGGTGTGAAGGAAGACTCCCTCTAGGTCCTAGGAGATGTTTCCTCTCCTCCTTCCACATCTATGACTATAGAAAGCTTGAGAGACTTGCATAGGGTTCATACTTGTGGGCATATTCCCAGGTGGGAGGGTGGGCAGGGATTCCAGTACTGTGGGGAGGGACTTTTAACTATGCCCAGGTAGCACTGAAGTGGACCTGTACCTCAGGACTCTGACCCAGGTGACAGTGTCGTCTGTGAGACTGCTGATGGGGTACAATATGGATGTGCACGCATGGGCTAAGTCATGGGACCTTTCATCCCTTGATATGGGACGAGAATCTGCTATATGGGGGACATGAGTACTGTCTACATGGACCCACCCTGGTTGTGGAAGACAGACAGGCACCCTCATTTCTGATGACAGTGGCTGGGTCTGCGTGTAGGCCGGATCTATGCATGGGCAGTGAGGGATGGGGCGAACGCTGTCTTGGTGATTGGGGTGTCCGCGGGGCGTGCTGGTCATGCCTTGCCTTTACACCCATGTGAATGGCATGTGCAAATATGTGAATACCCTGGAGAGATGTTGGGTGGGAGGGGGGAGAAGCCTGAAAAAGATGGAGAATTTATGAGCTGCTTTTGTCGGGAGACAGTTGTAATGAAGAAAATTCAATTTTCTGCAGCTCGGAGAGTCAATATGTTAAATCTCGGAGAAGCTGTGGAGTGACAGCAGAATGGCAAAGTCAATGGGACGTGTGTGGGAGGGAAGCCGTCTATCTGTGTCTGCAGTGGGGCCGCCTCCTTTCTGTACCCTTGAACTGCAGCTGAGGGACAGAATGGCACCACATACCTGAGTTCCTGGAACTTCCCCACTCGCCCTTCCTCTTCCACCTCACAGGCCATCTTCCCTTGGCTGCTTCTTGTAGGAAGAAAGACTGTCCTTTGTCAGGTCCAAGTCTACTCTAGCAATGGCCTCATCAGGAAGTCCTTCTTGTAGTCTAACCAGCACTCCCTCTTGCTGCAGTCATTAATTCTATAGTGGCTGTTTACAGCCTAAAGTGATTTGTAGGGGAATTCTTTTTTCTTTCTAACTTTTCATTCCCACTCTCTCCTCAGCTACTCAGTGGCTGGCTTCCTGTTTCCCAGCGTTTCAACTTTACCCCACCCAGACTTCACCTCCTCCCTTCCAGCCGCCTGTTCCCAGAGGCAGGAGTGCAGGGGGAGGTGTGGAGGGGGAAGTGGGGATTCCTCTGTGAGCCACAGTGTCACCAGGAGCCGTGATTAGCCGAGCTGCTAGCTGTGTAATTGGCGTGTGCCCGCGTCCCAGGGGTCTGGTATGTTAACAGCGGGTCCCTGTGGTGAGTAACCAGATCGTGCCCATGGCTGGTTGCACACGCTAATTAATTAGTGCTCCTCTGGTGTTGAGGAATGAGGAGGAGCTGGGGGAGTTTGTGGTGAGGGTGTCTCAAAGCCTGAGAGGCCAGCTCTGCAGAGCCCAGAGGTCACCTAAAGTCCTGTTGGAATGGGAGTGTTCAGGCTGCAGTGCAGGGTTAGGGGTCAGAGTGAAGGTCAGACATCTAGGGGCCCTGGCTGAAGACAGCAGCCTCTTGGTTGTGGGTGTCCGGTGTCCTGAGCTGGATGGAGGCAGAGGGAGGGGAGGACACCCCCGACTCCTGTGCAGCTTACGCAGGTCTCCAGGCTCAGGGCCTATCTTACGGCATCCTTTCCCCAGGTGACCCAGAAAGGAAGGGATTGGAAGGGGAAGGAGGCATGTTAGATGCCTCCAGCCTTTTTCCTGTCCCCTCTGCCTTCCCTCTCCTCACGAAGGCCAGCTTCTCAGTCAGCCATTGCATACTCATTACATGCTCACTGCGTGGACAGAGCTCCAAAGGGCTTTGGGGCTTCTCTCACCTTGACAATCACTGCTTTCCCCTTGCTGGCCATGCAGGCACCCAGGTTCTTTAGCCACTGGGTTAACTTTGGAGTCCAGCCTATTCTGAAACCCGGGATCTGGAACCCAGATATTTGGGAAAAACACCATGGAAAGCCTGAAGAAGGGGCGGTAGGGGAGAAGGTTGGGAGAGAACCCCACAGCTTTCCAGTACAGTATGGTCACTCATAGCAGCAAGAAGGCTGAAGGTGAGAGGGGGAAGGAAGGACGCCCAGTGAGCAAACAGGCTGTACCTCGTGTTTTCGGAGGCAGAAAACCTAGGCCTGATATCGAGACGGGTCAGGATGAAAAGGGACCCCGAGCAGGAGGGACTCCGAGCAGGAGATCCCCTCCACCCGAGTTTTGGGGTTCAGCGAGGTGTGGCGGGGAAAGGGGAGACAAAATAGAGAAAGCAGGCAGCAAACGAGATGAGGCTGCGGCGGGGAATCTTTGGCTTCCATGTGGAGGCGCGAGTCCCGTTCCCGCACACGGTAATTGCTAAATTACCCGCCATCTGCTCCGCTCTCAGACATAAATTACCTGCGAGGAGGAAAGACGCAGAGGCGGCACACTTTCCTTCCTCTCCCCCAGACCCGCGCAAGGCGCTCAGGGGGTCCTCCCTCCGGCGGGGGCGGAGGGACGGCCTGACAGGAACAGTGTGCACTTGCTTCTGTCCTCCCCTGAGGGACAGTGGCCTGGGATGACGGAGAAAGCTGGCTCTCCCGAGGTCCCCGGGCTGCAGAGCTCAGGACCCTTCGGCCTTGGGGCGGGGCCGAGCTGCGGGCCGGGCGGGGCCTCCCAGGCCACTCAGGGGAGGCGGGGCTCGCCATGGTGGGCGGGGCTTCCCCCAGGTGGGACTCCTCGCCTGGGCAGGGTTTCCCCGGACACCCTCTTCCTTCCCCCCACACCCCGGCTCCCTGGAGCCCACCACTCTGCTGGTGGGGTGGTTTCACTAGCTCTCGTTCACTCCCGTCCCAGTATCCCAGAAAGAAGAGAGGAGGGCAGGCAGAGGGCAGGAGGAGAGAGAAAAGGGGTACACCTTCCTTTCACTCTGCTCTGAACCTTGTCCCTCCCAGGCTAGATTCTGCAGGGTGAGCGAGGTGTGAAAGCAGATGTAGGAGAGATGACTTGAAATGGGGCAAAGTGTAGGGTGCGGCAGGTTGGAGCGAGGGAGGGAATGGGAAAGTGATGCCCACTGTCAGGCGGGGTTGTCTGGGGAGGCAGGCAGGCAACCTAGGTAGTGCGGAAGGTGGTCAGGGCTGGGGAAGTGAGCAGAGTGGGAGGTGGGCAGGAAGAGGGGGGCGGAGGGACGGAGGCGGGGCAGGATGGGGAGGTGGGAGAACCAGGATGGAGACTCAGAAACGGGCAGGTAGTGAGCGATGAGCTCTGGGCGATGAGCTGGAGGAGGATGAGAGTCGGAGAGAGGGGAGACAGCAAGACGTTCAGAAGCAGTTCAGGCCCTGGAAGGAATGCAGGGAGCAAAGGCTGTGGCAGGGAAGGCAAGGGTGTTTGTGGGTCCTTGCAGGGTCCCAGGAAGGTGAGGATGAGAGCCCCAGAGCCACTTCTTGCTCTTAGGCCAAGGCCTGACTCCGGAGGGGAGCTGAGAAGGCCACCTATGCAGCAGGGATGGGCACCAGCCCTCCTCCCCCAGCCCTAGGCACCTGCAGGGGTGTGCCCATCAGGGTGGGGGGTAGGCTAAGCCAAGTCCCAGCTCTGAGCGCAGGAGCTAGTGGGGTTTCTTCGGAGCGATTGTTTAGTATTCATGGGGCGACGCAATCTCTCCCACATCTGCTTAGCACAGCAAGTCCTGTCATATAACTGTCTCCCGCACTGTCTGTCCATAAAGAATGTCTCGGAATTGGTGTAATTCAGAGAAATTAATGACGACTTTCCGCGGGACGGCTCCCTGGGGGATGATTAACACTTCATCGTCCATCTGATGCGCAGGGCCCAGCGCTCCATCGCGAACATTTGGGCCGTGGCCAGCCGCATTAAAGGTTATTACGGAAAACGCGACCTGCAAACGGGCGAGAGGCATGATGGACCAGGAGGGGCGGGGGCCGAGGGCGAGGGCGGGGGCGGGGGCGGGGGCGGGGGAGTCAGATCTGAGCTGCCCAAGTCCGAGATTAAGTTTCCCGAGGTGTGCGCACCTGTGGGGTCCGAGGCTGAAGGAGACTGGGTTTCTGTTTCAGCGACCGGCAGGACAGGGAGGGTGTTGGGGAGCCGCTCTGCCCCCACCTCCACCGCAGGGGCTAGGGAAGAGAATGGAGTCCCTTTTCATGGGTGGGCACATTGCTGTTGGAGGTTTTCCCTGCCTTTTAATCCTCACAGCATTACTGGGTGAGTTTTATTAACCTCATCTTACAGGTGATGAAACTGAGTCTCAGAGAGGTTATGTAATGTGCCCACAGTAACACAGCTTGTTGAGACAAAGACAGGATTTGAACTCAGGTCCTTGTCTCATGAGCTCTTGCTCTTTCCACTACACTAGGGGGCAGGAGGTCTTATGCTTTTATGTGTCTGCCTCAGCTTCCTGCACAGAGGTGGCAGGTATTCAAAGATGTTTGCTGATGGACAAATGAGTTATCTTTGCAGGCTCCATTTCCATGATCTGGACCAGAGTCGGAGAGAGTCTGGAGGCAGGGAAAAGGAAATGGTATAGAAGTTCCAGTTTGGGCTATTTCCTGTGGGTTTACATGCATTCCGTTGGGCATTCTAAATCTCTAGAATCTAGAAGCCTGAGCTCTTTATCCTTAGTCAGCAGAAAGGAATAGAAGTGGTGTGCGCATGAGTGTGAACAGTGTGTTTGATGAGTGAGCATGTGCAAGTTTGCATGTGATGTGTGTCTGTAGATGTGGGTGAGTTTATGAGTCTGTGTATGTTGCATGTGAGAGTGCAAGTGATATGGGGGTGTGTGCATATGCGTGTATTTTGAGGGTATGTGTGTGCAGGTATGATGCATGTATGAGTATGCAACTGTGTGTATCTGCATGTGTGCAGGCAAATGTGTGCATATGTGTATGTGTGCATGTGGTGTGCCTTGGGGAGCTGGAAGACTCAGCTGAAGATATCTTTGATTTACACAAATCTCTAGCAGGTTCCAGGATGTGGTATGTGGTGGTGCTGAGGTGGCAGGCCAGGAGAAGGCTGTTTCTACTTGGATGTGGGGGGTTGGGGAGCCTGAGCAGTGGGTGCTTTTACCCTTCCAGGAACAGGGGATAGCATTAGGGTCCCGGGTCTGAGATGGAGACTAGGACCTGAGGCCTTCACTCGGGACTTGAAATTGGAAGTGCTCAGAGGCTCTGCTGTGACCTGGGAGGGTGATGAAGAGGTGGGGCCGGGATGGGAGGGTGCCCAGACTGTGCAGAATTCAGGCCTACTCACTTCTCTCCCCTGCCACCCACTACAGGTTTTGGCGAGTAGCTTCCAACCAGCCTTCAATTCCTAACTCTAGATTCACCCCACTCCACTTCAGGGTGGTAGAATTCCCAGAAGTCTTTATGTGTGACCTTCTAACTAGGAGGACCATAACCAGTCAAAATGTCTCTCTCTCATTGGCACTATTCAGAGGTCCAAAACAATTTCCTGGTCTCTTGGAGGCCACTGATACATATTCTTACTGTATTTCACCCAAGCTGAGGTTTTCAGGCCACTTGTGCTGGGAAGTTCTTTCTTGAGTCTAACTTCAGATCCTCTTGTCATGTTTGATGCCCAATAGGCCCAGGCTAAGTTTGTGAAATTGGGGCCTTGCACCTCCATCCCCCCACCACAGCAGTGGAGTAATTTCTTCTGGATGAGGGAGTGTGTCTGGAGTATAGGGACACTGAGAGAAGGAAGACTAAAGCCTGGCAGGTCACAGATGAGTCACACCAGTCTTTGGAAGGAAGGCAGTCATCAACAGGACAGTCTCAGAAAGGGAGTTCAGAGAGCATCGGTTCCAGCCTGTAGAGACAGCTGCCAGAGTCCTCAGAGGTGGGAAGACTCACCCAGTGTCTCCTGCTCTGCGGTGGCTGCTTCTGAAAAGCCCAGACGCCTGACTTCTGGTCTAGGAGTCCTTCTTGTACCCTATTTGGAGGATCCTAGATTCTGTTCCTATTCTCCTGGCTATCTGGCGGTGGGGGGAGGGAGGAATATTCAGCTAGGCCCAGGTGCTGCCAGCCATGCCAGCTGGGTCTTGAGGCCTCATTGCCTCATACGAACCATGCCTGTTCCTTCAACTCCCCATTCTCCCGCTGCAGGGTGGCGTGGTCTGTAAGCGCCACCTGAGCAGCCATCCAGGTATTCAGTTATCCCCTGACCCCTGACCCCAGTTTGTCTTCATACGCTCTGTCTATGCACAGTCTGTCTTCAGCCTGAACCATCTTCTCTCTTCTTTTTCTTCTTTTTCCAGACCAGCCTCTCAGCCTTTTACAAGATTGCCCCATACTGTCCTCCTCTGGGAAGCCCTCCTTGACGGATCATCCTGGTTCAGAATCCCCAACTTTTTCTTCCAAAACCACTGCCCAGGTGCTTGCAGGCCTCTTCCCATTCTCTTTCCTGATCCCCATGTACTGGCGCCTCCCTGTGAGCAGGGCTGTCTTCTCTTCTCTAGGAATCTGCCTCCTTTCTTCTTTCCTGTCTCCCAAGACCTCTCTTCATGAACCAGGAGAATCAGTACTGCAGGGGGGGTGGCCAGAGCCCTTCCCCGTTTGATGTTTTCTGGGAATGGCAGGGGTAATGGAGTCCCGTTGCGTCTCACGGTCTCATACTGAGGAGCGGGAGGTGGTGCAGACCCTTTCCCTGACCAGATCTCGGCGGCTTACTCTGGTGTCGCCACCCCCCGCCGCCCGCACTCCTCCTGCTCTGGTTGCCCCTGCCATGTGAACAGCTCTAGGCTGCTGCGCTGGAGCCCCTGGGATGCTGGGTGTGGTGGGGCAGTGGCCGGCGGCCCCTCCGTGATTCTCAGATTCTCATCTTGGGGTTCTCACCACACCTGACTGCCCGCTCCCCGACGGAAGCCCTCCCCGTTAGTGTTCGTCAGGTTTCTCTTGCACATTTCCTTTCCTTCTCCCACCCAATTCTCACCCAGCGCATTTGCCTGAAGAGCTGGAGTCCTTCCAGAAAGTTTCTCCTTTCCTGGGACCCTCGGGGTGGGCAGCCCCCAGGTGGGGAGGGGGTGAGTGGAGGCTGGGTGGAGGCCAGGGTCCTGGCTCTAGTGAGGCGCCAGGTTTAGCTCTGGATCAATCGATGCTTTGGCCGCCACCTTGTGGCAGATACGGAGAACTGCAGGGTTGGGGTCCCAGCGCTGAGAGGGGGACCTTCCGGAAAGGGAGGAGATGATCGCAGGGGTGTACATTATGAGGGTAGCAAACCTCAGATTTCCAAATTGCCATTAGGGTCTTCCTATTCCTGCTTGACAGGGAAGTAGAAACCTGTGAAGTAGCAAGGACACTTATGGATGGGGACGGAATTGAAACTCTGGCCTTCAGTCCCAAACCTATTGTTCTAATCTTCCTTTCCTAAAACAGAAACAAAACGAAAACAAAAACCAAAACCCTAAAAGGGAAACAGTCTGAAACTGAAGCAGGAGGAGCTGAGGTCTGATCCGCGGAAGTTCCAGTAAGTCCCAAAGTGTATTTGGATGCCACTGCCTGTGACTCCTGCACGGCTTTCTGCAGCTGCTCTCCATCCCCGGTCAGCGAGTCTCCCACCTTAATCCCATCATGCTAAGTTCATCAGTCCTATTTAGAAAACCCCAGGTTCCTTAGCCTTTCTACCCCATCCTGGCTTGTTCCTATAACCAAGATGCTGATCTGGAAAGTCCCTTCTCTGGTCTAACTCCAATCCTTCCGATAGCACTGGAAATGCTGAGAGCCACCATACAGCTATCAGAGCTGCAGATGGGAAGCTGGCACCCTAAGAAAGTGGGGAAGATGAGGAAGGTTCCAAGGGAAGGCAGCTCTGCCTCAGTTTCTCCTGCCATCTTCCTTGCCCCTGCCCCCTTGGATCCTTGGAGAAGAAGGGGATGCAACGGAGTGGTCTACCTCCCTGGAGAATTCTCTCTGCTTGGGCTCCAGGATTCACAGGTGCTGGGGGAAGGGAACCTCTGAGTTCCAACCATGAGCCTTGTTATCCTCCTCTGTAGAATGGGTACTGTGGAGAGTGAAGACG